GATGATGATGATGAGTAAATTCAGGTATGCCGCAACTTGGACCTGCGGCGTTAAAACCAACTCTTCAACTGCGGTTTTGTATAAATCTTTCAGCTGTGACCGCAAGGACTTCTGAGAACCTGGCCTCTGTCTCTGAACTTCCCCTGTCTAAGCTTGGGGAGCCTGGTAGTATCCCAGCCCTCGTGCTTCCTTCGGGTGGCATGCCAAATAGGCACCGGAATGGTGTTAAAGCCCAATGATTTTTTTCGAAAACACTTCGACAACACTGTATTGATATATATATATGAATATATATAGACGAACCTTATGGTTCTACGGCAGTGAAGCATCAGTGCCAACACTGATGCTTCTGTCTTTGATGATGATGATTCACGAAGTTAGGTAAAGGCGGACCATAGTCGTCATGAACAAGAAGCAAAAGCTCAAATAACACCTAGCTGATGGGCCTTACTGACAAATTAGTAGCATGACAACGTTGAAGTTGAAAGGCACTTGGTATCCACTGTACCTAAAAAGTGCATTCCAAACACGAGTTTACGATGTCATGACCATATATACTCAGCTTACGTGCTATCGTTACTAGACTATTGAAACGTACATTACACTCCTCTATTCTGTGTTGTTCCTTCTCTCGACTTGGAACCACTAAAACATATGGGCTCCCCAATATTCACAAGAAAGGTTCGCCACCCCGCGCGGACCAGATTTCTAACGGGTATCCTAAAACCACTTAACGGTAAGCTATCTACACATATCTAAATTTAGCATGTTTTTGCTGGGAAAGTAGCTGAGTTGTTGGTGACCAACCAACTTATCGTAGAAGTCAGTCATCCACACTAACCAACAAACAAGAACTACCGACTGAGTTACAGTACTACCATCTGGACGTAAAATACTGCTGATAAGGTTGCTAAAAACTCTTAGATAGCCCATGACCGGTATAACCTTTCTGGGGGCTCGTCACTCAACAGTTTGGATGCATGCATATCTTTGAGCACGTACAATATGCTCCGTCTCAGGGTTTCTATCCAGGATTGCGGTAATGACAAAAAAAACTGAGTTTGCGCTGAGTAAGCGCTTGGCTTCCTTTGGTTGGATTCCAACTTCCGCATGTTTATGCGAAAAGAGTCCAGTTAGGAAATCAATGGATTAACACAGGAATCACGTGGCCAGTCCAGCGTAACCCAAGAAGTGCGATCAGCGCATCTATCGTCGGAGTTATTTCCCACGAATATCACTCGACATATTGACCCGATGTTCCCACCAGACTCGGACAATGCCCCGAAAAACAAAAGGATCGTCAACTTCTTCAGATAACAGCTCCTGATCTGTACAACAATGTTACGGGAACTGCAGCACTGTAAACCCGACCAATAACAAACGTTCCCTCCGCCACGGATCAAGCAAGATGCCAAAACCTGTTCTGACCCTCCCTATCCGAATGGAAACACCATCTCTAGCTGAACCACCGGCACTGATACATCTGCTCAGGCAAAGAAATTTGTCTACTGCCTTAATTGGTAGACCCGTGGGCATGAGCGGCAGTCTGAAATTTATAGGTATTAACTGCATACCGGACCATGAGGCAATACTATTTAGATTGTTTAATATTGTTTGCATCCATGCAAGGTCAGAAACAAGAAGAGTTATGAGGTTGGTATACAAGAAGTCCAAGAATAATTTCGATCCCTCAACTATTCATGGCTGAAGGAGAGTCTTCTATGATCATGTCAGCAACAAATTGGACAGGAAAGAGGATATCCTTGTAATGTACTACTAATAAGGTTGCTGAAAATCCATCGACAGCCTACGACCGGTTTCGCCCTTTTGGGGCTTATCAGGTAGGCGCAGTCCCCGGGTTTCCGTCAACCTTATGTTCTACTTGAAACCAAATTGCACGAAATTAGCGAATATACACTCATTTGCAAACTAATTTGGTTCTTTCGAGAGACTCACTTGGAACCCAGCTGAATCTCTCGTTTATGATGTTCTCAGGCCTGAGAACTAATAATCATGATCAGTTTGAACGTTTGTTGGCGCAGGACTTAAAGAAAACATTCTCGCGTTCGGTTATTGAATACAAATCACACGATTCCATCCAGAACTAGGCTGTTAGGCGGATTAGAGGATCTTGGTGTGTGGAAGGCCGTTTTCTCAGCAGTACGCAGAGGTTTATGCTGCAGAAAACAATAGACTGCTATTTTCCGATACTACTGACCTCCCCCGGCATCAACACAACAACTGGCATGTACGAGACTTTACTTTGAGGGAATTAGTTCGGCTCCTAATAGCCAAGGAGCCCAGGCCCATATGAGCTACATCCCCGTTTCCTCAAAACCGGTTGTAACAAGGCCGATGATGGAACGTTCCTGACGATCAGTGGTGGAAGGTTGTCAACCGATCGACTTGAAAACTGCAGCGGTTGAGCCTATATTTAATGAGGAGTACAGCCGCGATAGCTATCGGCTGTTAGACTGGTAGCGTTACTGGCAGGGTGGTGTAAAAATGTATCAATGCCAAAATGGAAAAGCCCAAAGAAGGCGCAGATGCATAAAGACCCAAGCAGCATGAATCCCGGAAACTCCACCCATGCAATAAAATCCCTTTCACTTCGCAAATACAACAACGGGTGGCTGTTTCAGTCACCGGAATTTACCTCGACGTGGTTTATTTTGACTTAAGCGCAGCTTTCAATAAAGATTCTTACAGGCTTTTTATATTGACCAAGTTCAGGACCTGATGTTACCGTCATCCGAAGTCATAAATGATGTTCTTTATAGGTTGTTTATTGGCCTCGCACTATCTAAGGATTTTGTGAACGAACTCCTAAGAGCAGTTAAACCTGAGCGCCTACCGTATGCAGACGACCTATGATATGAACGGCGGTCTGTTGTAACAGCATCGACTGCAGGACCAGAACCTCTTCAGCCTGGGGTTACATGTACGCATTGTATTCTGAAAGGAGACTTAAACGGAAGAAGAATGCTTCTGTGGGAATGGCAAACGAAGCGAAACGAGGTGATGGAGAGAAACTAGCTGAGCCAACAAGGAACCGACGCCACTTTGTCGATCAGAATAGTTGATCTATGGACTAATACTGAAGTAATCTTAAAGGGAGGATTGATCGGTGTCTTCGCTGCGCCGAAACTCCGCAATACCACTGGCACTATGTGATGGAAATTACAAAGCACTCATCCCCTATGCTACCTGCCGTTCAATGAAACGAAATCAGGGTTACTCGTAAAAGCCCGACTAAACAGATCAAGCTTCCATAGCCGTATTCCCCATGCCTTCCTTCCTCTAGCATGCAGCTGTTACATTCAAACAAGTAGCACCATGCTTGTTTGCCCTAGCCAATTATGAGAAATGAAGCCGACAAAATCTGCCGGTGTCGCTCACCTGCTACATATTTCACAGTGGACTCGAGTAATCCCGCTTGTCTAACTCCATCACCCGAGCACCATCAGGTCTGAGAAATGAGCGAATCTGTAATTCAGCAAAAAGTTCGGTGAAAGCGCGGCACGAGTGCTCACCCATGTTTCTGCCTGAGCGAAATGTTCTGTGCCCGTGAAATGTGGTCAGTGCATATTGCAGCAATCAAGTGCAAGTCTCAGTACGCGTGAGGTGTGGTGGTTTGAGATGCACACATCCACTAGGTTTTGGGGACAAATTCTCGTACCAAGATACCATCACCACACAAGGCCACCAAACAGTGTGAGTTAGACAGAGCTGACGTGGATCAACCGCCTTGTGCTCACAACCGTATGGAGGTAGACGATGCTTAGGAAACCAAACGGTGGTCAGAAGGAGAAATACATACATGGTTCAAACTCACCTTGCTTTCTCTACCGCTTCTGACTCCCCAACATCCTTCTCGACACTGTAGTCAAGGATTGACTTGACACCATACTTTCTTAGTCGCCGAACGACAGGTTCGATATGTTCACGGCTTTCTCCAGCAACGAAATGGCCGTAAATTGTGCCTCGCATCAATAGGCGAAACATGGATCTGCCAAACACCTTTCGGCTAAGTTCCATGAGCTAAATCTGTTAGCGCATGCATGTAAATTCTGTACCTGCTTGTTATATTTGACAAGCGGGGAAATGCTGCACATCCCGAATACTATGATTCCACGAAGTAGCTCCAGGTTAGTTTTCGAGGCATGCGCGACCTTAGGATTGTTGAATTCGATGACTGGGACCTGATTCACAGAATCGCTATCCGATACACTTGTTGCCGACGTGGCTTGAGAATAATAGCATGGCGCTATTTTCTTCTGACGGCATCCAGCACCAGAAATTCGCGAGAATGAAGTGATGGAGTTTAGCCGCAGAAACCATCTGTTTGCGTGCCAAACAACCATGGAAAAGAGCGGGGAGTGACTGCAGAATGCACGCTAGGGAAGCGCCAGGGGGCACACCGGCGGACACCGTGTACTGCGCAATGAGCCGCGTGGGTACTGCCAAATAGATCATACGACGCGCCTTATCCAACTGCATTACGGCGTCCCGCGCAATGTATCTTAACAAATCTTTGCCTGATAAAGTGCGGTGCGCTGCCCAAGTTTGTTTGAAACAGGTAGGTAGGTGTCTCCTAAGGCAAGGGGTGAGACACATAGGCTGAGTTACAAACTTGGCTTGTCTACAAACGTAAACGCATTAGCAAGCATTAATGAAATTTTGGGAAATAATATCGCTGTGCTAATTTTTGGCTTCATCTGCACTGGAACAAGAACACTGAAACATATGCATGTACCATTAAATGCGCCACAGGCATTAATACGGAGCTACGCCCGTTAAAAATGGATGCCCATTCCCAAGCTCCTGACCTAGTTGGTCCTGCAGGGTCGCAGAATGAATTTAACTGGCACTTCAAGTGTAATCCCTTTCATGTTCTGAAGAGACTACTATTGCACACCACTGTTATTAAACTCATCCTCTTTTGCAAGCACACGGGAGTTTGCGGAAAAGATGAAAGGTGACGGTGATCACTTTGGGTGCGACTGAAGCGCACAGAAAACGATCCGCACTGAAAATGCACCCGTCAGAAAACCGTCGCAAGAGGGGCAAATGGTAGCAGGAATCACGTAGTCACGGTGTACATGGAAACTATAGGGAGTCATTACTTTCACTGTTTGAGTGGGGTCGGGCGTTAAAGTTCATTGAGGGAGGGAGTTGTCGCTAATGCACAACGCGGAACGCAAACTGCACAGAAAATTACTGAGTTTGTAAGGGGTGTTGAGTGAAAGTTAACGACATGTTTACATCTGGAATGAAGCTTCAGCAGCTTGGAATGAACGCGTCTTTTAGGCGGCTGGGACCAGATGAAGAGATTGCTCGCAGTTATAGGTAAGGGCACGAGTTGGTGAGAGAGCATCGTCAAAAGTAGGAAGTAAATATTTGCGGATATGCTATCAAACAAGCTAAGGTGGTACATGTTTCTGCCTCGGAGATCCGTCAATGGCCGCCATATTCACTTCTTTGTGACCACCACAGCAGCCTACGATGGCGGAAACTCCATTGTGACAGTGTATTTGTGTATCTAAAAAGCCTTTGACAAAATTCCTCATGAATCCATGTTGAACAAACTTAGTTCTGTTGGCACCACCCAATGCTTATTTCAGTGGTTCAATTCCACCTCATTAGATAGGGCACAAATGACACAAATTGGTGACAAAGCGTCATCTCCACTACCAATCTACGGTGGAGTCACTCAAGGGAGCGTGCTAAGCCCCATCAGCTTCCTAATGTATCTCAACGAAATCTTTGGCACTGTGTCCCACGGTAAACTCTTCTTTTTTGCGGACGATGTAAAGATCCTTTGCATATTTGCTCCTGTCTGCCCCTCGCTAGAACCAACAAGACCCAAACTCGCTGACTCGCTGCTCAAATGCCTATAGTCCAAACTTTCCTTATTTCAAGTCCATTTATCTTCCTGCCGCTGCTCCGTCCCAGCTGATTCATTCACAATTAATGAGAACCCTGTCATTCATTCCATGGATAATATAGACCTTGGTCTCCGCTACTCTTGTACCCTTGGCTTTTCTCACCAAGTCCAGTCCCGAGCACTTGAGCTTGACATTCTGCTACTGCGTTCCTTTTATCTCAATTTTTAGGCTGCGCGTGCTAACACTTCTGGAATTCCGTCCTGCTTTCTCTTTCCTCAGTGACGCAAACCAGCACTTGAGAGCGTTCAGCGCTTGTTCACCAAAAAGTTAGTCACGCAGTGTGGCCCTCCCTCCGACTTCTATTGCTGTACAATCTTGTGCCTTGAGCCACTATGGCTCAGACAGTTTAGGCTAAAACTATCTCCCCGGCAACATCTGCTGCACTAAAATGCTTCCAACCCGTGCTTGATCACTAGTCTACCAAGTGCAAATCTACCCATGTCCTGTCTCGTTTAATGACTTGCTGTCACAACCCTAGTTGTGGTAAACCTTAGGTTTTCCCCTAATAATGCGCATCCTCCCATCTGATCTCTCAAATTCACCAGGCCTTACTAATCTCATTCCATTCCCTCGACTTCCCTTGCTTCGACCTTCGGCAACACTTCATTTGGACGCCCTGTCTGGCTATGATCCATACCTGCAGGGATGCCCAACAGGACCAAAAAACCCACGCTCTTTTATCGGCTATGTTTTACTTTTACAGGTTCTCTTGGCCAATCCCAAAAATTCTGCTGCTCAAAGAATTTCCCATTCGATTTCAATCACTTCAGAAGTAACTTCCGCTAAAGGGCTCCTAAGAAACCGAAGTGTAGCAATGTAATAATGGCACGGCACTGCCATATTAGTTTGATATCACATGCATAACTATTACCATCGTACTTGACAGTGCTCTTTCCCACACTCGTTTCAATAACTGCCAGTACGAACAAACTATGCACCTGACCCAACCGGCCTCCGGGAAGCGTTCACTCTAATCTGCTGCACCTTTTGTTTGGGTTCAGCTATTTTAGTTGACTTTCAGGCTGTGCTCTATACAAATTCAATAATTTTATGTACAGCTTAAGTTCCGATGTGTGTAATGCCACCAACTACCCTTCCGAGAAGCTCCTAAAACCGACCCCATTACAACAGCGACACCGGCGAGCCCCATAGTTCCACTGTACACCGCTGTTTTATATTCCTGCTACCATTTACTCGCATAGCTAGTTCCTCCACTCCATCACCCCACTTGAGCTTTCCGTGACCCTGGCCAAAGGCCTAACAGTCCAGGGCCACGAGACCTCAGCGGCGGTTTTAGGCTTTAACTCATATTGACCGGCTGGATCACGCCAACCATGCTGCTTCACCAGATCCGTTCTTCTCGTTCCATATTTTCCGGAATGTTCAGTTTTCCTGTGATGTGTCAGGCAGGAGGCTTCTGGAGTCTCCCTTCATCATTTTGTTTTTGCCTGCCATCTTCCAATTTTAACGATCTGATCCAGCTTCAGCTCCATAATTTCCCCAAACCAAAAAGCAGTATTAATTGTGCCTGCCCACCCATACCAGTTTCGGAGTGACCGCATCTTCGGTGTATAAAGCCCGCCGTTTTTGACGCTGTCCTTTTTCCATGAAATTTCAATCCCACAAATCCTGCCAGTCAAACTTTATTCTGACTGCAACATTCTGATCATGTCTAGCGGTTTGCCAACCACCACATAGGAATTATTATTATAATAAAACGAAAGCTGTTTCAAGTTGTGACGAAGTGTTATTCATTTTGTTCTTACAAGAACAAAAGCTGCAGGCTGCGTGAAGGAGCCTCAGGCAGGGTCTAACGCCTGGAGCCATGAGTGGCGACCAAGTCTAATAGAAGTATTCAATTACGGCACAAACTTAGGTTCCGGATTTCCAATGGGCAAAGCGGGAGTCCTCAAAAGGTCGGTTCATCATGTTGGCCGAAGCGCCCCCTATCACAAAGCGTGTCTTTGAAGACGCGGAAAAGTGATGTTGAAACAAGACCGTCTGAATGACTGATTCCGTACAATTTGGGACGGTGTCACCAAACTAACGGGTACACCGAATGGCGCCCGCAGACATAGAACTGCCCCTACAAAGTTACAGATTTTGTCGTTCCGATCAAATATCCAGAATGAGATAAACTGAGCTTCTGGAGGAAGTCAACTCCAAATCATAACCAGGCAGGAGTTCTGCTGTTCATTACGGCCGATCGCCTGCTGAAATTTCGGGTTAGGAGGACAATGGCGATTTGTTCTGTCCTGATCTGCAAAATTGTAACACAGGCTATGTTATACAGTTTGTGTAGACCGATCTCTTGTGAACCTCATAGCAAAAGTGTTTATCCTGTTCAAAAGTGATAGGACATAGCCAATGTCTAGTGGGACGCCAAAACAGCAAATCTGAAGCACCGCCAACAAGGTATCACATCAAACGCACAGGTTTATAGACGACTGACTGCTTTAAGTGGATGCATGCTAAACAGTAGGTAGACTTGCATCTTTGGACGTCCAAATGAATCGGTAAGCTCAAAAACTTGGGCAGATTAACGCAGGGTTTGCTGGTGGACAGAAAAACATTCTCGGCGACGGACAGCTCTGGATAGAGTTGGGACTGGATGACATAAGAAAAGTTACCGACGCATCCACTAGAAGGTAGCTTCTCAGATATTATTAAAATGGTGAGTTTTGTTTGTTACTCTACAAGTTGTTTTTCTGTGCTCACAGTGCCCAAATTTTTTGCCTAGGCATTGGTATGCACATCGGTTGTGAGAAAAAGGCATACACTGCCAAGTCAATGCTCACGGTTTACCGAAACCTTTGAGCTGTATGACAATGTATTCCTCTAGTATCTACGTTCAACCGACCAGACATGAGGTAGTGTGCATCAATGGGCTCTCCACAAACGAGGGCAGGTGGTTGCATGGACCAGCGTTGAGAATGCTTCTCGGATTGGGTAGCCTCAGTTACTTCGAACGCCTGAGGCATCACATATTTCTACTCCCATAGACATGATACTTCTTTAAGTCTCCAAAGACTAAAAACTTGCTGCTGCGAAGGTACTCCTCAATTGGGCAGGTATAAAACTGCCCGGATGCACAGGTAAGCCGCAAATAGCGTGAAATGCAGTAAATACCAAGTGTTACAACTTTATTTCGTAGAACTGAGTTTTTTAATAAGCGCCGTGACAACTCATTATGGCAGCGGCTGTTAAACCCTTTAAGCAACATCTGGATGAACCTTCGTTTGATGGTATCAAACGTGGCTTTGCAAAAAAGGAGACAAAATGAACGGTCAATGGACACGCCTGCTTCCCGCTAACCAACTGTCGTCCGATCAGGTGTTGACAAAAGTTTGTTGCCCAGAATTTCTGTTGTCGTGAGTCCTCATTGGCATTATGGAATTCGACCATTGTTTTGTTCTCAGTGTTCTTCCGTAAGCTAGCTTTTCGGGTATGCAAACTGTTGCCCACACAATACACAATTAACTTTGTTCCGAACGTCCCACACACTTTGAGGATCCTAATGCGTGGTGCGAATG